ATATAAAAAGCTGAAGTTTTGCACAGAGGTTTCCTTTATGATGTATACAAGGAATAACAAAGAATATTCCGAAATTTAACCCCTAAGGGGGTGGAAAGTGGTTGCAACGTTTATACGAGGAATATTTTATTTGTGGTCAGATTTATTTGAAAGGTCTTAATACTCTTTGACATAATTAATCAAACAATTATTCCGGGTTTTTTAAAAATTCATCCTCCGAAGGGGTGGAAAGGGGTTGCAACGATTGTATGAGACATATTTTATTTGTGGTCGGATTTATTTGAAAATTGGTCCGAATGCTCATTGATACACTTATTTCGCATTAAAGTTGCCTCATTTCCGTAAATGGATTTAGAAACTTCAAAGGGTATAGCCGAATAAGGGGGTCAAATGTGCCCTTGAACCAAATGTGACATACGATGGATCCATCGATAGAGCATCAAGAAAAAACGTTCTGTGACAAATTTTAACCCTCTATCTTGTTTGGAAGGGTAGTTATTGAGAAAATTCGGATTAACGAATTTGTGCCTATTTCCCCTATTTAATCGAGTACAAAAATTATGAAAAAAATCTGGTGCATTGTGGTTATTGAGATACATGTTTGAGAATTTTTTCCGATTTCTCGATTCAAAATCCTAGGTGTGAAAAATTGAAAACGCAAAAAAAACACAGAAAAATACTGATTTCGTATTGAAGCTTTCGAGACACTAGATTTATATAATTACTGTAAATGCGTATTGTCATTGGTTATCTCCCTGAATTTTTTCAGATTTTTTGGTAGGGTGCGCCTTAGTAGCAAAAATCAAAAACCGATTTTTTCGACGTTTTTCGCGTGAAAAAGCACCTTATACTTTGAATTTTTGTATTCTCTTTAATAGATAACTATATTCGATGGTTTTAAACATTTCTATGTCGAGCAGAACAGTGTATACAAGTAGAAAAGCAAAAATAAGTCACGAAAAAAAAAGTGCTATGCGCGATATATTGAGAAGTATGCGAAAATAATACAAAAAGCAGATGTATATATTAACGATAGTGGAAAACGTATAGCAGAGCCTATTAAATACACTTTAGAGGAAGTTTTATCTCTATTCATTGACGGTGATTATACTAAGGAGACATATAATTCCATGCGAACAGGTGCAAAAAAAAGAAATGCCGATATTTACCCTGCATATAATTCTATTCGTGAGGCAAAAAAAGAATGTTACCCAACTTCTATTAAAGTGACCGACATTTCTGCAGAAGTTAATATTCAATATCTTGCTAATCACACAACAGAGAGATTATTTAAGTATTTAGAAAAATGTGTAGATTACGAAAATGTACCGGAATCTCTCAACTTTTTGTTCAAATGGGGCTGTGATGGGAGTTCCGGTCACTCCACATATAATCAAGCATTTTCGGACAATAATAATACAGATGAATTTTTGTTTGCCATATGTATGGTTCCTTTAATTTTAAAATCAAATGGCAATGTTTTATGGATGAATCCGAGTCCCTCTTCAACCAGATTTTGCCGACCCATACAGATTATGTTTAAACACGAAACAAATGATCTAATTAGAAACGAAACCGGAAAAATAGAGCAACAGATTTCAAAGGGTATAGCCGAATAAGGGGGTCAAATGTGCCCCCAAACCGAATGGAACGAGCCACGGGTCATTCGATAGCAAAAAAAAAATAACCCCTGTGTGCAAATTTTTAACTTGAAATCTCGACCGTGGGGGTAGTAATGGGGTGAAAACGAAAATCATGTTTTTGAATTATTTCTCTGTACCTATTGAGTAAAAAAATGTAAAAAAATTCAGAGACATTTCGGGTACCGGGGCACATACTTTGGGAGATTTTCAGATTTTTTGATCGAAGAACCAGGTAGTGAAAAATAAAAAACAGCAAAAAATGGCGAAAAATGCCGATTACGTATTGAAGGAGGCCCGGAACTACTTTTATACTTTTACAGTAAACAGGTATTACTATTACTATTACTCTCAATTTTTTTCAGATTTTTCATTTTGGTGCGCCGCAGTGAAAAAAAAATAAAAACCGAGTTTTTCCTCGTTTTCTGCGTATTAGAGTAACTTACACGTTGAATTTTTATGCATCCTTCAATATATAAGTGTTTTGTAGACTGTGTAATGTTTCTACACTAAGCAGAATTACATAACAATTGAAACAAATAAAATAAAGCCAACCGTTGAGCGCAATATATCCTAGAAAATCAACGATATTTTCAACGGCGTCGATGGCGCAGCGTTAGAGTGTCCGACTGCTGAACCGCTGCAAGTTTTTTTACCATAAGTTCGAGTCTCTCTTCTGGACTTAGGATTTTTTTTCCTTCATTATTTTTTTTTTCAAATTCTAACTATATAACAATGCTTTATATTTATTTATAAATGTTCTGAAAGCATTTTACAAATATTTTAACCTGAAATATGTATAAATATAGTTTTGGAGTGTTTTTTGCGTTTTTATTTTTTTTGTCAACCACGATTATTGTTTATCATCTCTTACACTGAAATTAATGTGAAATGTTAGTTTTCAAATCTCTTACCTTTGACTATTGTGAATGGATCGGCGCAGAAGATTGTATATTGGCTTACTATTACTTCTTCTCGCCCTTCGATCAAGCAGATCTTTCCTTCTCGTTCTCTTTCTTTGATAAATATGAATGTTTGCTGCGGCTTTAGTATCTAACGTAGACATGTAAGGGTTATTATCCTTTCCTTACTGCTGGTTTTAAAGATAATGGAAACACTTGTAAGTCCAACCTCTACGGATCATGCCAAGTAATTATGTATAAATCCCATCGCATACAGTAGCTTGAACTGAGTAATTAAAAAATACATTGTGAAACCCGAACGCGACAATCACCCATTGACCTGAACGGTCTGGGCCCTCACCCAACGAACCTTTATTTCCTTCGTAACGCAGGTAGGACAATTAATCATTTTTCCCCGTGGTTTCCATCGAGCAATGATACTTCATTCAAAAATAAGCATGAAACGATCAAACTGGTACTTAAAAATGGGTTTATTAGAAAAAAGTATCATTGGCGGAGAGTGGGTTAATAGATTTGGCGTGGAATGGCCCTTACATGTCTACGTTAGATACTGAAGCCGTAGCAAACATTCATATTTATCACAGAAAGAGAAAAAGAAGGAAAGATCTGCTTGATCGAAGGGCGAGAAGAAGTAATAGTAAGCCAATATACAATCTTCTGCGCCGATCCATTCACAATAGTCAAAGGTAAGAGATTTGAAAACTAACATTTCACATTAATTTCAGTGTAAGAGATGTTAAACAATAATCGTGGTTGACAAAAAAAATAAAAACGCAAAAAACACTCCAAAACTATATTTATACATATGTGGGATTTTTAAATTAATTCAACAGAGGTAAATTATAAGTAACAGTAGTTTAATGTTATAAATTATTATATATATATATATTTTACTCGCACTCACTGACTCATATATTTTACTCAAACTCGCTGTCTCGCTGTCTCGCTTGTACGTAATAATCTCTCGTTCTTCGTAGCGCTTCGATTTATTCGACTCGGACGGCCCTGAGCGCGCGGAAGGCGAGCGCCGTGATTGGTCAGTGTTTTTCGTTAATAATTCAAAAACGAAGCCCCATCCGACATTTTTGCAAAGGAAATTGTTGCTTAGAATTGTCTCACCTACCCCCCATTTCCGTTTCTTACACTATTTACGGGACACCCTGTATACAATATCTCACACACGCTTGCCGATACACCGATTTTTGCGGCTGTTGGCCTTTTCGTGGGTTTTCTCTCTCGCACACATGGTCTCTCTCTCGCACTCGTTTTTCGCGGTCGCTCGCCTTTCGGTCATGTTTACGACTACGGTCGTTGACAATAGGCGAGCGACTTTCACATGCGTCCTAACAGCTGATTTTGTCCGCGTTCTTACGCTGCTCCTAACCGTCAGCGTTCGGCAACGCTTCCTCGAAGCCCTTTTTTGCCTCCTACACATATTTCAGGTTAAAATATTTGTAAAATGCTTTCAGAACATTTATAAATAAATATAAAGCATTGTTATATAGTTAGAATTTGAAAAAAAAAATAGTGAAGAAAAAAAAAGTCCTAAGTCCAGAAGAGAGACTCGAACCTATGGTAAAAAAACTTGCAGCGGTTCAGCAGTCGGACACTCTAACGCTGCGCCATCGACGCCGTCGAAAATATCGTTGATTTTCTAGGATATATTGCGCTCAACGGTTGGCTTTATTTTATTTGTTTCAATTGTTATGTAATTCTGCTTAGTGTAGAAACATTAAACAGTCTACAAAACACTTGTATATTGAAGGATGCATCAAAATTCAACGTGTAAGTTACTCTAATACGCAGAAAACGAGGAAAAACTCGGTTTTTATTTTTTTTCACTGCGGCGCACCAAAATGAAAAATCTGAAAAAAATTGAGAGTAATAGTAATAGTAATACCTGTTTACTGTAAAAGTATAAAAGTAGTTCCGGGCCTCCTTCAATACGTAATCGGCATTTTTCGGCATTTTTTGCTGTTTTTTATTTTTCACTACCTGGTTCTTCGATCAAAAAATCTGAAAATCTCCCAAAGTATGTGCCCCGGTACCCGAAATGTCTCTGAATTTTTTTACATTTTTTTACTCAATAGGTACAGAGAAATTATTCAAAAACATGATTTTCGTTTTCACCCCATTACTACCCCCACGGTCGAGATTTCAAGTTAAAAATTTGCACACAGGGGTTATTTTTTTTTTGCTATCGAATGACCCGTGGCTCGTTCCATTCGGTTTGGGGGCACATTTGACCCCCTTATTCGGCTATACCCTTTGATTCCATTTACTGTTAGATTTAATAATAGAAACATAGTTGTAAAATATTATTTTAAATTAACTATGATAGATGGAAAAGCTTTTGCTGCTGTTACTGAATCATCAACTCAGTCGTGTTCAATCTGCAAAGCTACACCGCGAGTGATGAATAACCTAAATATATTACAAACATTACCAGTAAACATAGATTTTTATCAGTCTGGAATGTCAAATCTTCATGCCTGGATCAGGTGCATGGAATGCATATTGCATATTTCATACCGCCTGCAAGTCAAGAAGTGGCAAATACGAAGTGTAGAAGAAAAATCCCAATATGAAGATAGGAAAAAGATGATTAAAAGAAAACTAAAAGAGGAAATGCACATATTAGTAGACATTCCGAAGCCAGGTTTTGGTACAACAAATACTGGAAACGTAGCGAGAACATATTATGAAAATTATACTACAACAGCCAATATTACAGGTATTTTATTATTTTATATAGTAAATAATAAATTATTAAATAATAAAGTAATAAAATAAACAATAAATAATTTTTCAGGCGTAAACCAAGAATTAATTAAAAGACTTGGTGTTATTTTAGTTGATTTGCCAAGTTATAGACAAATTAGTCCCAATTTATTTCAAGAGTATGCAATGGAAACATTTAATCTATACGTTACAGAATATAATTGGTTTTACATGCCATCAAGTTTGCATAAAATTCTATTTCATGGTGCAGACATAATAAAGTGTGCTGGTTTACAAATTGGAATGTTTTCAGAAGAGGCAATGGAGGCAAGAAATAAAGATTTTAGAAATATCAGAAACGATCACGCGAGAAAATTTTCACGACTAGAAACAATGACAGACCTTTTTCACACGTTATTGTATACATCCGACATTTTAATATCCTCAATTTCGGCGGAAAACCGCAAAATTTGTAAAAAACATACACGTTTTGATATTTTCAATGACGAAATTGAAAGATTAATGTTAAAAGAAGACCTCCAAGACGATGATGATTCTTCATAGACAATAAATTTTAGATAAATAAATTAATCATTTGTTTGAAAAGCCTGAACAGCTAGTTTTCAATTATTGTACATTATTTACATGTCATCGCTATTTTTTAGGCATTTCTGATGCTCTGGCAAAAAATGTTTCCAACCAAAAATTAATCACCGCTTACACTTCTACAAATCCCAATATGAAAAATCAAAAAAATTTTTTTTTTCAATAAAACATTAAGGTGACCTTGATTTTTTAATTGTCACAATATATTTTTTACTTAATAATGTTATAGCTGACGTCAAGACAAATTCAACGATCTATATACTACGGTCTTTAAGTCTTGAAATAACGTTAAAATAGTTGTGAACAGCTAATTCTTCGATCTGGCCCACTGTGCGACGCGACGGGTCAGTCGCTAAGGTGGAGTCAAAGAAAAAGCACGTGTGAAGCCCATCAGATTACCTATTGTACTCTCATTAAATATTGTTCCTCATTTAAGTGGTTAGATTAACGTCTTTTCGTCACCCCCTCTCTACCCACATCCTACATGTAAGATGGCGACGTGACATAAAATTAAAACTCTATAGAAGCGAATGGGGGCTTAAAAGCAAAATAATACGTACGGATCCGGTGTGCAGACGCTCATTGTTTCGATAATTATTTTGATTACGGACGATACGAACGAAATATCGACGACACCGCGATTTTTCGTGATTTGTTTTCCGACGAGGGGTGAAACGGAACCGGGAGAGTGGATTTTATCGACAACCGGTCTGCGGTGCATGAATGCAGAGGCCTCGAGATACATCATCTCCACGATGATGGTCGAATCGTTTATCAAACCGTGGGGGCTACGGACGCGTTCGGTCAAGTCGAATTAGAGGGGACATCGCGTCGAACGGTAATGCAATTATTTACAACAACCGCAAATAATCGATCAGCCGGGAGCGACGTCGCTCGATTCGTTAACTATTTAAGGAGGAACTCGCGGAACGGTTTACTCGTGCCACGAATCACCGCCTGGCGCAGTCTTTGCATCTTTTATAAACGCTGTGAACGTACACGGACGATCGTTAATTACAGCAATTTAATTTAATTGTCTAAAATCAGTGTTTCCAAACGTGGGAAGAATTATCTCCGAACTTCTACCCCAATCTAATTTCTTGGGTTGGAAAAGTAGGAGACAGGCCTAAACCAGTCACAGAGTGAGCTTCCAAAAATGTTTTTGTAGTTCCAAGTATAAGCAAAGCGTGACTTTCTCGACAAATGCCACGTGCAATTTCTATTCCAGTGAAGATTTGTTTTTCTTCGGGTCTAATAACGTGGCTGTCTCGAAGCAATTTTCGAAAACTGTCGTGCCGCGCAAGAAACCGTAATATCACAGTCGCAAAACGATTATCTCGGTTTGGAGGCGTAGACTGTCGCGGTCAGAGGATAAATTCGTAACGTTGACGAAAGGTATGAACGCGTCGAGTTGCAAATAATGGAAGTGGTATTTAGAAACGTAGGGCTGAGCAAAACAAACGTGTATCGGGGTAGCTGGGAACGCGACACGCCGACCGAAATTGCACTGGGTCGCGGAAATGACGGTCCGGGGGCGGTGAGAGTCGCGGAAAGAACGGAAGCAAAGCTGGCTTTCTTCCTCGAGCTAGCGTTTCGACGTAATTTCCTGCGAAAGAACGGAGTTTCGGTGCTCCGTCCTCGACAGACTCGAGAAAGATTCATCGATCCATCTTTTAGATATCATTATTGTCGGACATCAAATAGGTCCGCCATTGTCGACAACAGCGCCATCTGTGGCGCTCCTGGCTCGCTCGCGGGTCCATGATTAAGTCCACGCACTCGTTTGGTTGTCCAGGCGGCTGGGAAGGTGAACAAATCGTTCATTGTGCGATCAGGTGTTTTCTAATATCTCTTTTCAAGTTTAAATAAATAAGTCTAATCGATCCAACCATCTTGTAGCTACGAGAAACTAACCTCAAAAAGCACCACCACACAATCCTTAAAAGATTCTCAAAAAATCGTTCATCGTTCATGTGTTTCCTAATACCTCTTTTCAGGTCTAAATAAACAAATCTCATCGATCCAACCATCTTGTGGCTACGAGAAACTAACCTCAAAAAGCACCATCACACAATCCTTAAAAGATTCTCAAAAAATCGTTCATCGTTCATGTGTTTCCTAATACCTCTTTTCAGGTCTAAATAAACAAATCTCATCGATCCAACCATCTTGTGGCTACGAGAAACTAACCTCAAAAAAGCACCACCACACAATCCTTAAAAGATTCTCAAAAAATCGTTCATCGTTCATGTGTTTCCTAATACCTCTTTTCAAGTCTAAATAAATAAGTCTAATCGATCCAACCATCTTGTGGCTACGAGAAACCAACATCAAAAGGCACCACCACCCAATGCTTGAAGGATTCTCTACCTTTTCAACAAATAGAAATCGCGAAGACTTCTCTAATGGAGGAGTATGCGTTGCAGTATCAGAAAAATTTAAGTTATGAATCTGAAATACCACTCAATACAAATCTAGAAGCGACTGCAGCAGTTACTTTACTCCCCAAAAAGATTAGCAAACCCTAGTCAAACCCTAAACCTTGTAGACTTAGAAGAACTAGTTAACCAATTTCCACCTCCATTTATATTAATAGGCGACTTTAATAGCCATCATCGTCTTTGGGGCTCCCATAAAACAGATAACCACGGAAAAATCATTGAGAATCTGCTTAAAAATCTGGAAATCACACTGCTCAATAGAGGACACCCACTTCACTATCAGCACCGGAAAGTTTGGCGCAATTAACTTGACTATCTGTAGTAGCAGACTTGCACTACATATGAAATGGGATACTCTTGACTTCCACGACAATGACCACCTCCCAAGAATCCAAGAATAATCACCTACGAAGACCTTGCTCAATCCCCAAAGAACCAACCTGCACCAAAATGGAACCTTAAAAAAATAGACTGTGCACAAGTACAAATCAATAATAGCAAATAGCCTCCAGGAATCTCTTAACCAAGACATTGACCCTTAATAAATCAAACGATACATGAGAAACAATTATTCAAACAGCAGCAAAGGAATCCTCTGAACCAATAAAAACCTGAACCGACAGGAGAAGAGATGTGCCATGGTGGAACGAAGATTATCAATCTGCCATGAAAAAAGGCTACAAAGCCTTCAACAGAGCAAAGAAACACCCTACAACTGAAAACCTAATAAACTTCAAAAAGCTACGAGCAAATTTCGGCAAAATAATCAAAGAAAGCAAAAGACACTCCTGGCAAACGTACATATCGAACCCCAACAAGTAGTATATGGGAAAAAATCAAAAATATCATTGGAAGACCCAACTATACAGAAATACAGTTCCTCAACCTAGGTGACGATAACACCATAACCAATTCAAACGGCATAGCCGACATCCTTGCGATGACTTTCCAAAACCACTCAAACAACTTAAACTATGACCACTATCCTCCAGTAGCCCCCTCTGACAACAATTCCAACATAACAGACGGCATCTGCATCGACCCTATCCTTAACACAAATATAACACTAGAAGAACTAAAGAACACCCTCCAGACAACAAAAGATTCCTCCCCGGGACCAGAAAACATACCAAACGAACTGTTAAAAGAACTACCGCCAACTGGCGTCGAATACCTACTACATATTTTCAATTGCATATGAACCCACCAAGTTTCCTTTGAAAACTGGAGGAAAGCCATAGTAGTACCCATACTTAAACCGAAATATAAACAAACACAATACAGAAAATTACAGACCAATTGCTCTAACCAACTGCCTATGCAAACTCATAGAAATAACCATTGACAGAAGACTTAGGTGGTTTCTCGAGACAAACAATATTTTAGCACTCAATCAGTATGGATTCAGACAGTTCCGATCAATGGCAGATGTCCTCGTCAACATAGAAACAGGTATCTCAGAAGCGTTCCTAAAAAACGAACTACATGCTACAGTATGTCTAAATATTGAAAAAGCGTACAATACGATACGATACACAAGCGAAGAATCATCGATATCCTCACCAAATTAAAAATAAATGGCAACATGATTGCCTTCATCAAAAACTTCCTCCACCATAGATTCATCCAAGTCAGGGCAAATGGAACTCTGTCCAACCCAACAGTCATCCAAAATGGAGTACCATAAGGACCAGTAATCAGTGTCACACTAGTTTTGTTAGGAAATAATGATATAATAGAAAATATACTACCACTGATCCAAGGACAGTTGTTTGCTGATGACCTAACATTAACCTGCAGTGGGAGAAACATTACAACAGTAATAAAGCTCCTGCAGACAACCATAAACAAACTTCAAACATAGTCCAAACAATCAAAGCTTAGACTCTCCCCCCAAAAACCCAGTACATAATATTCTCTAGGCAATGTAAGCAAAACCAAAACCTGCCAAAACTATATATCGAAAACATCGAAGTTGAAAAAGTGGGCAATATTAAACTCCTTGGACTTACATTTGATTGTAAACTGACTTGGGTTCCACGCATGAAACACTTGAAAAATATATGCACCAGAAAGATGAATGTCATCAAGGCGCTAGCAAGCAGTAACTGGGGCAAGAAATTATCCTTAAAACTTACCAAGCCATGATTACATCTAAAATAGATTACGGCTCAACAGTGTATAATTCCGCAAAGCCTAATACATTAAAAATGATCGATATGATCCACCATACAGCTCTGAGAATAGTCACTGGAATTTACCGCACCAGCCCAATAAACAATATATTATTCGAAGCTAAAGAACCACCACTAGAACAAAGAAGGAAATTTTTGGGGCTTAAATATACAGGTAAAATGTCTTCTACTCCGAATAATCTCACCTACAAGTAAGTATTTGGGAACAGATACACACCCTTACTAAATGAGAAACCAAAGCTACCAATTCCATTCTACGGCAGAATCAACAAATACCGGAACTTAGCTAAAATAATGTCGACACTAGTTATTACACGCAGCGTTGGAAAAATAGCACCCTGGACCATACAAACCCCCAAAACAAACGTGACTCTTGCGAATGCTCCCAAAGACCAAAAAAGTAGCCTAGAACTCAGAGTTGATCTTTTACAACTAGATAAAA